GCTGTACAATGATTAGGCAGGTTCTGCCACATAGTGATACTCTCTGATGCAGCTTCAAAGTTCAAAAGAAAAAAAAGAAAAAAGAAAAAAAAGGAAGCAAGAAAACAACAGCTCTTTGGTTGTGCGAGACAGAAAAGAAAAAGCACATGCCAAAGACATTAACTCAGTCTCTTTGCACTTCAGTTTATGAGTAGTGGAGAGCAAAAGTTTTGGGAACAGCTCAAGGATTTTTGCAATGATAAACACATCTATTAGAATACTTTGTTTTTCTTTTAAGACCCAAATGTACAGACAATGAGAAAAGACCAGTTGCCAGGCAAACAACAGAGATTCTAGGAAGAAACGAAACGAGATGTGATCAGAAACCTCCAGGTCTGCACCTATAAAGAGAAAAAACAGTACCTGATTTAAATGGTTTCTATCCCCTTCAAAGTACTCACCTTGTGCAGCGATACACCGCTGCCAGTGCTCCTGCCGCGCTTGGAAGACTCACCAGAAATCCTGTTCTGAGCGAGCTGGATCTCCTCCACTGTTTCAAAACTGCAGCTCTTGAACTTTAACTATATCAGAGGAGAGGAAGAAATTGCATGTGTAGGTAGAGAGTAATAATAAATGTTGGTGTGGCCAAACAATGTGTTGTGAGCGGACGCTCTTCCATAACAGAGCACCCGATTGACGGCGTATCACAGTTCAAGCATTTATGCAGAATGTATTTCCTCAGACACCTTGGAGTATTACAGTAGAACCCTGCGTTGACAGTTAGAACCTGGGGGATGAATTCACGGTGCACAATCCCGAAGAAAATGTCGTAGAAAATGATGCACATGCTCATGGTGTGCTCCCAACACTCTCAATAGGTCTTGTAATAGCTCACAAGTCCCACGTGCAACTGCAACCTAAAGAATCTTCAGATCTATTCATCGTAGTCGTACACACCTAACAATAGTGAATCTGTTGTGATTCCACCGTGTTGTGCATGAACACTTCCACGGCGGACCCTGACAAGAGGCTGAAGCTGTCGGTTTTCTGCTTTCACTAAATAGCTTGTGACAACAAAAGTCTACAAACATCATACTTTATGGATAAAAACCACTGACAGTAAACGTAATCCAGGCAGCAATTACACTCCTACCAAAATGTATTTGGCAAGGCAAATTAGTGGCACTTCAACACATTTTGTGGGAGACAGGGATGGATGGTTACATCCTTCCTGGCCTCCTTCTACCACCGTGACTGACACCTTCAACAGTAGATTACAAAATGGTTCTGCCCAACAACCTGAAAATAGAAAGCAATTTTTGCACCATGAAATTTCCACAGTAGATGTGTACAGGCAGTTATAAATACAGCAGAGTTCTCACTCTTTTGACTCTTGGGGAAAAGAAATAGTGACAAATCTGTTGATCTGCTTTGTAGTTCCCCCTCCTCTACAAATCCTCAGACACATTTTTAACTTCATCTCCAATCAAAGAAGCCCAGATTGCAATCTGCTACACAATATGTTTTGCTCCACTTTATTAGGCCCATAGATAAACCTCATGGATGGAACACAGGCCTGTGAGTAATGAAGGCTCCCTCAGCATAACAAGATCCTACCCTCCTTATGCTCTCCTTCTCCTCTCAATTTGGAGCGTCTATGAGTTTAGCTGGTCATTTTCCACACGTCTTTTCAAAGCAACGGGGATGCACAGATGCTGTAACAAAATGTAATCATTTTCTTTTAAAGCAAGCAATTAGATATGCAGTTCCTACCTGATACTCATACAAACACAGCAAGTTTTATTGATTTCGCAAAACAGAAGTAAATGCAACTCCTGCGGCAAACAGACGTGTTAAAATGTCAATGTAAAATTAAATCCCACTGCGCTGTTACTTCTATTTCACGAATTTAAGAATTGTTTTTGTTTTTTTCAAATGTGGCATGTGCAAAAATGTGGACACTCCTGTAAATCCGTATATAGTAACAGCAACCTATTTCTTGGCAGATATCACAGGTTTTTGTTGCCACCTAAAAGTCTTTATATTCTTGATTTAAGGATTTTCATCCACTCTTCTTCGCAGATCACTTCAAGTTCTGAGACTTACGAAAAGAAAAAAAAAAAAAAAAAAAGTTTTCCAGCATGCACAACATGTTTAAGATCTACCCACAGAATTCAATGATGTTCATGTCAGGGGACTGTGAGGGTCGTTCTAAAAGCTTCTGCATTCGTTCCTTGATGTAGTTCATGGTGGATTTGGTTGGCATGCGTTGGATCATTGTTCTATTGTAGAAGCCAGTCTCTTTTCAGCTACTTGAGTGACACCATGACATCTGCATCCAGAACTTGTTGATATTTCGCAGAGTTTATTCTTTCCTTCGTCAGTGCAATGTTTTAGGTGCCACTGGCTGCTACAAATCCAAAAATGCAGACTATTTCCATCCCTATGATTAACAGTTGGCGAGGTGTTCTTTCATCAAATGCTGTTCTTTTTTTCCCCCCTCTCTCTCTAAACATATATTTGGAGATTGTGGCCAAAGAGCTCAATTTTAATTTCATCTGTCCACAGCACTAGCTTCCAAAATGATTCTGGCTTATCCAGATGTTGCTTTGCATGCTTAGACTTCTGTCATGATGTCAGGTTTCGACAGCTCTCCCATACAGACCATGAATCAATCAGTGGAATGGTGCGCCGCCGCTCCTGTGCGAGTTTAAACCTTTCTACGACTCCTCTGTAGTCATATAGAAGTTTTGCCTTTGCCTTTCTGCCCAGCAGTGTTTTATCTGAAAGTTTCTGTGGTCTTTCAGATCTTGTCACAACTTCCACAGTTGCCCTTTACTGCCATTTCTCAGCAACATTTCGAAATGGTGAAAAATTTCAATCTGGTAGCACATGGAGTCTTTCTGCGCTTTATATAGTCTTCCCCTGCTTTGTCAATATTAATTAGCCTCGACTCGGATCCTCACTCACTTGTTAAGAGGAGCCTATTGTTGAGGGTTTGTGCACTCAAATGGACTGACTGAGTTAATTTGGCCCAATGTGTCAGCATTAACATTTGGGGAAAAAAAGAAAAAAAAAGAAGCTTATTTCAGTGTCTGTTTGCTGCAGGGGTTTGATTTATCTCTTTCCCAATCAGCAAAGCATGTACCCTTTTCGAGGACAGCCAAACTTTTGCATACAACTGTATATGGCATCTGATATAGAACGTTTTCTGAAAAAAAGAAAACAAACAAAGGAAAACAGGTTGAATTTGTAAAACATTTGGTGACTTCTATGCTGTTGGTGTGTTGCTGTGAACCCGAATCACTTGGAAATCAGATGCATGTTTACAGCACATCAATTATCTCGTACTAACATCATGGCACATCCTCAGAAACACCATATTACGTACAGGAGTACACCCACACACATAATCTGCTGGATCAAAATAACATTTGGGAAGCTGAAAACAGAATTTCTGCAACACAAAAATAGAAGTAATTCTCAGAGGAACTGAAGAGGAAAAGGAGTTTTTTCGGGGGGGGCAAATTAAGCATACATTTTACAAAAAAACTGACATATTGAAGAAGAAGGTGACTGCTGTTACATCTTTGCAGGGAAGTATAAAAGACCTTGGTTTGATTCTAAACTGCTCTGTAACAAGCACGCTGCAGCCAGCTGAAGCTAAATCAAGGCCACTGGAGGAACTTGGTTAGCAACTGCTTTGCTCTCTGAAGCTGCTGATTGCATCACTGGGGAGATGTTTGTCTTTGGCTCTGATCCAGACGGGGACAGTGGTGCCGCTCCCAGTGCTGAAGATGTTCACCAGCTGCCAGGTTACAGCAAGCAGACCTTGTCAGATAGCAGGTTAACTGGTCAGCAGATCTCTCTCTCTCTCTCTGTCCCTTCACGTCTCAATTCTGTCTCTGCCCAGATCGTATGGGACTTTCAGATTTAATCTACTGTATATTTCTCCACAACTGATTTACATTTTAAAGGAGGCATGTTCCGCGCGGTGCCTTTTAAAGTCTTGTTTAATTAATAAACGTAAGCGATAAAAGTTCACATATGCTCCTCACAAGCTGCGAGTCAGGTGCGGGTTTTATTTGGGAAATGTAACAATCCAAATGCACAGAAACTACTTTCTGCACGCGGGATTATGTAGCCTTTTATGAGCAAATCCATTCATGAATCATATGAAAACTGTGCTCATGCAGCCAATTACGCACAGAGGAACATCAATAAAAAAACTTCTACAAGGACACTGCACACTATAAACTCTTGTACTGTATGGTATTCAGCCAAGGCAGTACATTTTAGAAGAGCCCAGTTTTCACACTGTAGAAATATGTCAATAAAAATAAAGGATAGAACATAGGAACATATTGTACAACGGTCATTTACAGGCCGACAGAGAGCAGTGATAGGTGCACATCTACAAAAAAGAGCCATGTGGTGACACTTCTTGGCTGCCCGTTGTCCTATCTGGGGGTATAAATAGGGTCCAAAACAACGGCTATTATCACAGTAGGCGGCTGCATAGTGGATTATTACTATGTCATACATGTGTCAAACCACACAGCTGCAGTGATGAATTTCAGGGTGCACATGTTATATCTGCACAAACTAATCATGGCCACAGACAGATGATGAAATGTGCATCAAGCTTGTGGCCACGTAGACGTGGAAGTTTGACACGTACCGCCCACTTAATCACTGCTCCAGACCAAGCATCCACAAACCGAGCCCCCGCGACCCACAGCACTGCCGAGGACTAGCCATCAATGTTTCTGTGACAGACTCGACAGGATGACCCCAGACGTCTCCTGTCCACGCCACGATAGGTCTGAGCTGCTTCAGCAACATGAGGTGGACCTGCACAATATCATGCAGGTGGTTTTAACGTCGTGGCGGGTCGGTTTGTGTTTCTGATCAATAACATGATGATAAGCAACAATGACAACAACAACAAACACCTAACAGCCACAGAAGCACTGACATTGTGGCTTTTGTTATTAAGGACAAAAAGAGACGGAGAAAAATCCTTTTTCGCTTTATTTTATTGTAAATGGGTCTATAAAAGTGAAGAATCAAGATACAAGAAAAAAATGCGAGATTTCAACAGGAATGTAGAAGAAAAACAGCATCAGTGCTGGTGAGTTTGTTTGGTGCCACATTCTGGACAATCACACTGAGATTTTTTGCCCCTTTTGCAGACTTGTTCTCTCCTAAGACACAGAGGCAAGACACAGCCTAGTAAATCAAAAATAAAATGACAGTAATGGAAGTTATAACCTGTGAAAATATTACTTATTGAAATTTGTATAGAAGTTTTCTGGACAATTAGCCCAATGTTTTCAGTATAAAAGATACCCTCTCACCCCCTCAAAAAAACTCAAAAAAGAAAAAAACAAAGAAAGAGAGAAATGAAAAATAATTAAATACCCAAAACAACACAAAAGAAAACACAAGCCTTCATGTGTACGCAACTAATTAAATTTATATGAAAGTAACTAAAGCATAATTAACAACAAAAATATAGGTGGGGCGACTAAATACGATGTAGATGTAAAAATGCCAATGTCAAAAGAAATGCTTTACTATTGCATACTAGTTGATTATAAAAAGTGCTCAGCGACAATGCATCTTTAACTTTCAAAGAAACGCTACAAAAGCTATGATAATGTCCCATTGGTGGGAATGTAAAGGACAGCCAGACTTTTTTGGCAGTGCATTCTGCAAAAATAAAGACCTGTTGGATCTATTTTGGTATATTTCTCTTTTGAACTATTATGTCTAACCCTCATGTGCTTAAGTATTTCCATTAAATCACAACTTTTGAAATTCAGTCTACATTTCATAAATTTACCTATGAGGACATTCTGCAGGCCAAAGTGCGACCAGCTTTCTGTGATCCACTTTTTTAAAAAAAATAAAAAAAATCTCTGTACCATTAAGCGTTAAAAGCACGGTCCTAAATCTTACGAATATTTTTTTTAATATATATTTTTCATAAAGCTTTTTATTTATGTTTCCTTAGATTACTATTAGTTCATTTAAACTAAGTAGCTGTCTGGATTTTTAAGCCTGACAACTTTTAACAACTACATTCTCCTCCTGTCAACAAAATTATTGAAGGAAAGTCTTAGGTTACATTCAGAGCGTGGTTGGATATGCGGGCAGAAAAATACTATATGCTGCATATTATTTCAGAGGCCAGTAACAAACCTCACAAGGATCTCAGTTTGGCGAGGAGAGCCTCTACATCTGAATCTCCATTGGTGCCACAGCTGCTGACCGCAGGACCAGAGGAGGACGGCTGGAAGGCTGGAGCGTCTGCTTCCACGTCCGTCTCTTTTTCAGTCACTCTAACCATCTCTGCCTCCACCACCCGCTCTCTGTTCAGCCCATAGCTGTGACCTGGGATGTTCCTGTTCCTGCGGCCTGGCTCTGAACACGTAGAAGCCTTGGCCCTGGCTGCAGATGGATGGCCTTCAGACTCGTTATGGGCCTCTTTGGCAGGGGGAGCTTTCGCCGCCGCTGAATTCGCATTTATATTCTGCCGAGAGCGAGACCTTTGTAAAGGGGCCTTGTTGTTTTCTGTGAGTGAAAAACAGAGACAAAGCAACTATGAGAATAAGGGAGGAGAGTGAGAAGAAGGTGATGCGTGACTGACTCGTTAAATGAAAGGAAGCAAGGAGGTTAATCAGATTACAGATTAAATTACAAGCAAGACAGAGAGGAGGACAAAAAGTAAGCGAGGGACTTGAAAATGTAGTCAGCCATGATGCAGCAAACGCAAAACGCTGGGATAAGAGAACTCATCAGAAAGTAATAAGAAGCACTTTAATAAGCATATGCACATGCAAAATAAACACATAAAAACACGAGGTCACTGTGCACACAAACACCATGGCGGGGTACGGTGTGTACACACACTGATGAGAACAAATTTTCAGCAGCAGACTGTGGCACAGAGCCAGCTCAATGTGATGAAATGGATATGGCTGATCAACTACAACAGAAACTCAATAACATTGTATGTTGCCCTTTTCCAATCTCCTAGCCTTTCCCTTTTTTCTTTTATGACACCCTCCCACCAGGCTCCACCTCCCCTGATTCCACCATCATCATCCATTCTCCTTTCTCTGCTCTTCATCTCAGCTTTCTGCTCCTACAGTAGTCCTCTTCATCTTTCTTATGCCTTAAAACACATTCCCAGACAGACAGTGGAACAGAGCGACGCCCAGATGCCAAGATCAGACCTACGTTCTGAATTATAATCCCTCTGAGTAGATCTTAGACTTCATCATCAGTATGTGCGCGCTGGAAGGAGAGGGTAAATCCATATTCATGTGACCTTGAGCGTGAGGCTGAGAGGAGTGGCGCAAGGAAAGACACCACCGCATTTAAAGTTTCCTGAGCCTGAAATGTCTGGCAAACAGGAGTCAAACACAGCAGAGCAGAACAGAGCGACCCGCTCTGTCAGCCAATCGGTAATGAGTTTGGAGCGTGGCCAGTCAGTCATGACAGTGTGTTTTATGGGCCGAGCTGACGAATGACAAGGAACGTCCCTGAACACAACCTCTGACAAATAAATAAGGATAAAGGGAGGAAAGAGAGCAGACAAGAAGGAACCAACTGCAAAAATTACGCAAAGAAAGCCGGCGATCACATGCGCACGTGCACACACTGGCACATTTGCACAAAAACTCGTTAGGCAAACAAGAGGCAGTGGGGGATTTTAAAAGCTGAAATGACTGGAGTGTGTTGCCTTGCTGCTGTGACTGAACATTTAGCACAGCTGAAAATCCATGTCTCCTCTCATTATCTAACCCTTTCTGCTCTCTCTTCCTGTTGTAGCAGTCTCAATTGTAACAGATGACAATTATTCCCCTCTGTCGATCCTTTGCGCTTCACAGTTTCCCCATCACGTCTTGATCCTCTGTCCTGCTTCTAAAAATCTGACATCTACACCCACCACTCCTGCCTCATTTTCCGCTTACCAGTGTCCCACAAAGACGCATTTTCTTTACATATAATACATTGGCAGATCTGGAGCTGATGTTATAAAAATGATCAGTTGTGTTCAACTACTTGCAATTTGACATCCTATTTACACTTCTGTTGAAATCTTAATCCAACGTTATTTCTGTCACCTTCAAGAGAAAGTGTACGCATTATCAGACATCAAGCGTGACAAAATTCAAACGTGAATCTTGACTTTACATTAATTCCCGCATTTATTAGCATGAATTATCATTTAATTATTTGCAGCTCTGGATTAACTGGTAATTATTGTTTTATTTAAAAAAAAACATATACTAGATAGCAGTACACAGAGCTGTATGAATACATACATATTTACACTTCAAATAAGACCCGAATAAGACCTCTTATCCAAAAGTGCATTTCTTTTCTCCTTAACAGGGCTCTGGCCTTTAGTGGTGAACATGATCAAAGTGCTGGCAAGTTCAGTTTCTTCTCACTCTGCTCGCCTGTGACACCTAGCTGCCCCTTCCTTTGAAGCCTCGCTAGCTTCTCAACATATGCCTTCATCTAAGCTGTAAAACACGTCTGAGAGATGTAAAACATGTCTCATCTCACAGGTTGTACTCCTTTAACCAACAACTGACAAAGGTTGTGTAGGAGAAGCAGTCAAGTAGAATTTTAATCAAAATTGCTCCTCTGGATGGTCGGGAATTTGAAGACAAAACCGCAGTCTTTTATTGAACACATGCTGAGATGATAGGGGTGTGCATTTACCCCTCTCTGACAATTTGATACGGTTTGAGGTACGTGACGCGCAATTTGATATAGATGCAGTAAGAGGCAAGTACACTTTAATTTAGCATAAATGTCATGTTTAATTGCATCCCTGTTTTTGTTTCAATCACTATCATTTAATAAAAGAGACCTTCATTTTATTAGTGCATTGCTGTAACATTGATGGACAGTTAAAAATAAAATATCAGTCACCAAGAGACCCAGAGGTATCATCTTTTCTTTCCACACATTCTTCTCCTAGTGACAGCCTACTGCTTAATTAAGCAAAATGCAACGTAAACTTTAGAGGTCAGTTGCAGATTTGGGTGTAGAAGCCAGCGCTCAGGTTTTAACAAGTCTCAGATTTGAATTTTTCAGCAACATCACTTCTGGCAATTATTCAGACTTTGCAGTTTTCTCTGGAGCCACAAAACACTTTGTAGAACTTTCCACAAATGCTGCAGACCTGTGAACACAAGTTTTCTTAAAATTTGTGAAGCTTCCTTAAACAATTAGGAGTGATTAAAAAAAAAAAAGAAGCAAAATCAAAAGATGGCGACCAAGAAGGTTGCTTTTTTTCTCTTGGCAACCAGTTATTGTTCACCTCAATTTCAGGATTACTGTCATCCATCTAAATCGAGCTCTGAATGGGTGCATGTCCTTGTAAATAACAAAGCTTATTGCTTCAGTTATTGCCTTTGACCAAGAGCTGTTAGGGGCAAGTGGCATTAGTTTCTTTGTTGTTTACTTAAAAGAGCAAACTGGTGATGCCACTAAGCTGCTGTTGAATGTTTTGCACGGCACATTTCTTTTGTCAAGATTGGACTGTCAAGACTCAGTGGATTCCAACATTTATTTCCTGTCATTGACAGAATCAGATCAATTTTTGCAGTCTTTTTATTTTTTATTTTATATAGAATTTAGATTTGGATCAGCGTACCGATACAGCAGCGTCGCTCACACTTGGATTTTCCAATATGTTCCAATAGGCAGCAGTTAGTCTTCACTCCTTAATGTGGTAGTAGTTCACTGGAATACTCTCCCTGTCCAATATTAGAAAAGAATGTGAAAAATATTCCTTTATTCCATCTGCAAAAAGGAGCTCACATTTCCTCACGTAAGATCATTTGCTACATTTATATTTGCTGCTTCAACTGATGCAGATGAGCCTTTACTCATTTCTCTCCCTCCAGCCCTCTTTTGCTCTCTTGATGTTTGGAGAAGTTAGTAGGCAGGCAGGTTGAGGCAGGGAGCCTCAGCAGAGACACGGAAAGAGAAGTCTGGGCCGCAGCAGTGCTTGCCTGTCTCTTTCTTTCTCCGAAAGTTAAAGCTACGCTGCCTCTATTGTGGTAACTATACACTCATTTACATGAGGAGCTGCTAAGAGGCTGAAGCAAAACAGTCAACACATGAGAAGGCCTGGAGACTGGTACTTTCCAGTGAGTAAACCATGAAAACAGTGTGATTGTGCTAAACTACCAGCCCATCACAGTCCTCAGTCCGACGCTGTCCTTTGCTTTGCTGGAAGGCAGACTGGAGAAGAAAAACTGTTGAAAAACAGTGATAAAAGAGCTGGCAGACTGAGCTTGTTGTGTGTCTTCTCGCTCTCAGCTTTGCTGTAAAATATGTCTTTAAACTGCGTTTCGAAGCCCACAGCCTTTTACCCAGCTACTGACACTGGTTCTGTCGCAGCAAAAGACAAGTAAAATCTCAAACAAAACAGACTAATCGTAGCTCTGAATGGTGCGAGACTATCACTGGGAATTTCAAGATGGAACCATGGTGGTTTATTACATGTCTGATAGGATGGCATTTAGTGGAACTGTAAAAGGCGCTGTCCAATAGAGAAAATGGAGCATTTCTTTTTTTCTTTTTTTTTTTTCAATCTGCAAATAGCGGCAGAGAGGAATTCACATCTTCCTCTTGTCAGATCATTTGGTCCATTTGCATTTGCCACTTCAAATACAGATGCAGATGAGCCTTTCCTCTCATCTCTCACTCCCTCCCTTTCCCTCCAATCTTATGAAGTTTGCTGTATTTGATCACTTTAAGAAGAGAGTAGTCATGCAGACTCACAAAAATACAGACAGTGAAGTGACTTTTTCTCTTGGCGGAGTGACTGACACAACAAGTTGAAGTTAGCAAGATCAAACACACACTTCTACACCCTCCATAAATCAAAACACAGCTAGCTGGCTTGGCAGTGCGCTGCATGTTCTGTCTAATGATGACTACTTGCCCTGTTCTTTGCATCTACAAGTGGAACATCTGGGGCCAGTTTACTCACGAGTCGGGCCAGAAACACTGGTGTTCAAAGTAAGTGCTGCACTTAGAAATGTCACATTTCTAGCCTTTTTTTCATGATGACATGTTGCTTTAATGACTAGAATCACAAATACATAGATATAAACAAAAGGTATGTGTTAATATATGGGATATTGATTCATAGTTAGGGCAGAGCTAACTAATATCTGACAGGTGCTCTCAAAATATTCCAATTTCAGCATTTGTAATTGTTATACAACAGCTTTGGCAAATAAAGTTATGGTTAAATTGTTATCAGAAACAGACATAGGGCTTCATTTTATCATCTTAAACAGAAAACACAACATTTATCTGACTCTATACTGACACAAGCAAGGGAAAGCTACAATTCTTGCAGAGCTTGATTACATAGCTAAAAGTAACAGCTGATGCAAAAGAGCATCATCACCCACGTCGATCTTTTCTGATGCAGTTTGTAAGACATTACCATTTTAAAGGTGATGCACTTTCTTCGAACAGCAGTGCAGAACAACTAAACACAATTTTGTGCAAAAATGCAACACTTTATA